TGGCACAGGGAACATCTCACGAGTAGAAGGAAAAATGGATTCAATAAAATGTCAGCAAATTTTGGATGGTAACTTGATGCCATCTGTGAAAAAAAGCTGAAGTTAAAGAGAGGATGGCTTCTACAAATGGATAATGATCCTAAACACACCTCGAAATCCACGGGGGATTACATCAAGAGGTGTAAACTGAAGGTTTTGCCATGGCCTTCACAATCTCCTGACCTCAACATAATTGAAAATCTATGGATAGACCTTAAAAGAGCAGTGCGTGACAGACAGCCCAGAAATCTCAGAGAACTGGAAGACTTTTGTAAGGAAGAATGGGCAAAGATACCTCAAACAAGAATTGAAAGACTCTTGGCTGGCTACAAAAAAGCATTTACAAGCTGTTATACTTGCCAAAGGGGGCAGTACAAGATATTAACTCTGCAGGGTGCCCAAACTTTTGCCTGACGCCAGTTTTTTTTGTTTTCTGTTATTTTGAAAGTGTAAATGATGGAAATAAAATCTAACTTTTGTTGACATATTATAAGAATGTCTAATCTGTAATTTGATGCCTTTTGGAGATTTTTCCATCTTTCCTTGGCTTTTTTATGCACATTAATACACATTTTTAGCTGGGGTGCTCAAACTTTCGATCCCCACTGTAGGTAGTAGAAAATATGGCAGTCTGACAAGAGCAACACTGCCCAAAAAAAAGTGGTTAATTAATTTTTTGGGCAGTGTTGCTCTTGTCAGACTGCCATATTTTCTACTATGTATTCTGGGTTTATAAATCCACATTTATATTATAAGTGAGATGGAGATATTATCCTGACACTGATATACGTGTCATGCTAGGTGGCTTCCTTCTTTTTGTTTGATGCATCTCACATAGGTACCTTATCAACCATTTAAACATTCTGGGTGCACAGCTTAAGTTGGCATAAGAAAACAACATATTATTAAAAAATGCCAGCATACTATGTGATAGGAGTATTCTATATATTGTCTATCATTTCATCCTGCAGTCATGATGCCTCCCCTTATTCAGGTGAAAGCAGGAAAGGGGGCAGGGGGGGGAGGAGGTGTCATTGATAGCCTGGGCTCACAGAAAGTGGGTCTGTTAGAGGACTGGAGGCCAGGACCGGGAGCAGCGAGTCTGCAGAGGACAGAACCAGAAAGTTAAGTCAAAAGCAACTATATGTGTTTTCCACTGCTGGGCAATACATCTGAAATTAAAATAAAAAAAAAAAAAAAAAAAAAACTTGGAGTTGTGGTTTAATTAATTCTAGAAATGGTTGCTGCTTTAGGAAAATCGTTCAGTGTCAGGACCAGTTCAATGAACTGCAACCCTGTTCATGACTTGATTCATCTTCTTAACACCACCAGGACTTACGTCTGCCTCTATAGAGGCAGGATTCTCCCCTTACCCTGGCCATGTGGTTAAAGAAAATAAGACATAAGGAAATAATGCTAACAGCCTCCTTGAATACCGTGAAGAAAACTTTAGGCTCACATGGTTTTATTGGGTGGAATACACATGCTGCCCAGAATATAGATCTATCCTTGAACAATGAGTCCCAGGATGGTGGAAGTTTTTTCCCTGTGCCTTGATTCTTTTTCTATGCATACTTGTCTTCTGCCCTTTTTTCTTCCTCTTCTTCCCTTGCCCTTTCTATCCCAATATGTAGTACCTGTTATTTCTTTGACCTCATGCTTTGCAAAGAACTGGACATTCTACTGGCTGTCTGGTGCATATATGTAGATGGAACCATAGAACTTGTAATCTGCATCAACAACATATATGTAGATTGTAGTATTTTGAAGACAGACTATAACTTTACAGTCAATTGACCTCTCTATTATACCTTTTCTTTGTTTATATGTATGTATTAATATTTTGTTAATGTATGCATTAACATGCATTATTATTGTCCATCCTTTTGTCAAAATAAAATAAAGGACTATTTAAAAAAAGGAAAAAAGATGCTGCGACCGCTAATGACTTGAAATTCAGGCTGCCCAAGCTTTAGTTCACATGCTTGGAAGAAATTTTTTTATAAATTATAGATACACTTTAAACACTAGGTAAACAACAAATAAAACAGCTTCTTTTTGGACTAAGGCTCCATTCACACTTGTGCAACTTCAAAATCGTGTGATTTTCATAGCGATTTTACAGTGCGACTTGGGCTTTGACCAAGGATGATTGTTTGTGCTTTACAAAGTCGCACACAATGTATAACATTCAGGTGCGACTTTCATGCGACTTTGGAGGGTTTACATTGAAGTCTATGACTCAAGTCGCATGAAAGACTGTTCAATTGGTTATAATGAAGACAGACGTTCCATTTAGCAGTCAGTCTGAGAAAGGGCATAGTAAGACCTACATTAACTATATTCAAAACCAAGCAAAAAAATGTTTAATGTGCATGGAAGGATCGCCGCTCTCCCGATCGGCCCAAGTAAACAGAAGATGAAAGAGGGCCTCAGCCTGCGTCTCTCCCAAAACCACAAACAAACAAGAGATACCTGTCCCAAAACCACGTCCCATGGCAAATTTCACTCCACCCATGGGCTTAGTCATAGGGCCTATGACTGACCCCTTATTGGCCAGGGTGCAGTATGTCAGAGGGCGTGATTTTGGTGGAGAGACACACAGGCCGAGGCCACCTTTCATCTTGTGTTTACACAAGCTAATAGGGAGAGCAGTGATCCTTCCATTCACATTAATAAGCCCTCTGGAGCGGTACATGGACACCCAGCATCCCATTTCTAAGTGGATCCAGGGAAGCAGTCCTCTTTGCTTGAGCGGCGCCACAATGTTTATCAGATATAAGAAAGCACACCATGATGTTTCCCCATCAAGGGTTGAGTCCATGTCATCCTACACTCACTAGATGTCATCATTCAACTTTGAAGGCTGAGGAAAAACTGGCGTAAAAGAATTACAACTGGGGAGAGCACCAGAGAGGAGGTGAGTATTGCAGCCAACCAAGTAAGACTACAGAATTGTCCACTGCTTTGTAGGACCAGTGAGAAACAGAAAAAATATGGAGAGCACACAGAACAGTATACAGAACTGTTAATATGCAATACTTATTTAATGCACACAAAAAACATACCAACGAAAAAAAACAGATAAAAAGCATGGTACGCTATTCTGCCTTAAATCACTCTTTAGTCTCCATTTTATTTTGCAAAACAAAAAAGATGAAGCAAAAAATGGCCTTATGTAGACAGGTTTAGAGATATGTGGGAGTGCCACCTTTTAGTACTGGCTGGGAGACAAGCCTGTATGGTGAAATACTGTACAAAAGGAAACAAATATGTGCACTGGAATTACACACTGCCCTTAGTTGTTTCCAGTTTCCTGGCTGCCATGTTCATTTTCCTGCTTTACCACTTACTGGATCACTGACCTGGAATAAGCATGTAGGCTGGGAGTCCTGACTACACCAGTTTCATACTAGCTTTGTGAAAGTGGATAGCTGTAGGATAGTTGGATCTCAGCAGGCAGAACTAACTATTGGTAACTAGTAGGTTGGGAGCACCAGTGCACTTTTCCCTCATTAAAGGCTGTCTTTTAATGTTACCTCTTAAAAATGTAGACAAGCATACAAATTATGGAAATGTAAGCATTGTTTAATTTTCGCAGTTTGAATGTGATCTACAAATAACAATTAAAAGAAAAACGTTTTCTTTGTCTCTCCTTGACAAACAATGCTTACAGCAATACAAAAGAGTATTAAAATGGATAATTAGTATATCAAAGGGCAATGATTTGCTGGTATATGACAGTAAAAAGAGCCATAGGGTGTGGGGAATAAATTATAAATGGAATATTGCCTCTGACCAATCGTCTAAACATCACAGGAAAAAAAAAAAAAAGAGAAGGAGAGGAGAGTCAACTGGCCAAATATGAAGAAATAAACATGCATTGCTGGTAAGCCTTTTTGTCAGGGACCAAAACAGAACCAAATGCCTTGTTGATAACAACAGTATGGGCTGCTACTAATAGAGATGGAATGAGCGGGTAAATTAAAGTGCAGCTAGAAAAAGAATCTGCCCTAGTCAATTTAAGGTAAGGGTTTTTTAACTTGCTATCACACTAAAACAATTTAAAATGGTTAATCTGCACCACTAGCAATCAAAATGAAATTGGGTAAAATAAAAACAGTACTCCAAATGTTTAAGCAGAGTTTTAAAATCCAAAAGTGCTGGAGAGTTAGAGCAAGCTTAGAAATAACATTTTTGATTAAGCAGAAATAATTATCCCTCTGCCCATTTAACAATCATAATCAAGATAAACCAAAATATGTGCCTTGCCACGACAAGCAGCAAAATATTAAATCCATAATGAAAAAATTAATGGGGAACATACTTTTTTTTTTGCAGTGCCCTTCATGCTTTTTTTTTTCTTTCACTTAGTCTCAAACTCATCCTGGACCTACCAGCCTCTACCTTAACTTCTACTAAGTGTCAAGCCCACATACGTTGTAAACATTTGAGACATAGCCCAAAAATGTGTGTTTTGAAGCGGCTTGGTCCATGCCTTTCAGTAAAATTAACATGGGCATACCACTCCAATTATCCGTTAACACTCAAGAGCTCATTTAAACAATTTTAAATAATAAAAAAAAAATCTTCTTTTTCTTCAGGGAGATTTTGAGAGTAACAAATATCTTCACTAAGAAGGTGTCTATACATACTGCAAATGAGATATAAAATGCATAGATGTGTTTAAATCAACTTTAGCAGACCCACAGCAGGCTCTTTACTCCACACAAAATGTATGCACCATTGGCACCTAACTGCCATCTGAAGGCTAGTTATTAAAAAAGTTCAGTCCTTGGGGCTTCATTGCTCTCCACAAAATATAAGTGGGTTGGATAGCATAATCCATCCCAGTGCAAATTTCCACAACACTCCCTAACTCTTCTGCTGGGTCTGGGCAAGGCACAGCCAGCTGGAATTAGGAGTTACTTAGCAGATGCATCATTGCTGGGTAAGCTCCGTCAGGCTGTCACATTCACATCCCTGAGAGAGGAAGAGCCTTGTGTATAGAGTTCAGTAGGGACAGCACAGGCAAGGCAGAGTCCGGCTGCACCACAGAAACCTCCCTGAGCCAGGATCTGCTGGATGGTTTTACGTAGATTTGGATGTAATCGTCCATGAGTCTGACAGAAGATTTCCAGGGCACATGATTTCAGTGGTCCAGCGCTAAGATCTTCATAAAGTGGGATAGTGTACATCCTAGATGTCTAAAATAAAACAGAAGATAAAAAGGGGCATATATTAGAAGTATAACAAATCTTACTGTTATAAATAGCATGTACTATTAACCACTTCCCATTCAGCCGCTGTTTATTAAAAAACGGGGTAGGACGGTGGCAGTCCAGGGGCGGGTTGCCGTTCATAACCGGCACCCGCATTTTCAAGCTGTGTGCGCTCCCTGGGAAGCGTGCAGCACCGGGATCCGGCGCCAGCTTTGTCCTCCGGACACAGTGAAACACCGATCGTCGGACGGGACCTCTGTGCGAGGTCCCGATCATGTGATCACTGATTGGCTATTCAGTGATCACATGCAGAGTAGTAAGCAAGATGTCACTTCTGACATCATTGCTTACTATGTGTGAAATCTGTGAATGATCACAGAGGTCACAAGGTACAAGGCTATTCACAACAGCCTTGTACCATGTGACAAGCTGTGACCAATCACAGGTCACACAGCATTTCTCAATGGCTGCAACAATGCAACCAGAGAGAAGGGGAAATGATTGGTTTTACATCCCTTTATGGGTATAAAAGCAATCAGCGTAAAAAAAAAAAAAAAAAAAAATCATCACCCCCCCCACAAGTAGTACTGCAAGGGTGACAGCATGAAAAAAAAAAACATAAATAATAATATAAAAAAATTAAATAAAAATGTAAAAAATGTTTTTTTAAATTATAATTTTTGGTTATAAACTAATTTGGGTTATTTTTTTTTACTAAAAAGATAACTTTAAATTTTGGCCAAGATTTATGATGAAATATTATTTATTTGCAAAATTTTATAAGAAAAACCCTTTTTTTCAAAATTTTTGGACCTTTTCATTTATATAACAAAAAAAAATAAAAATCCCAGTGGTGAATAAATACCACCAAAATAAAGCTTTATCTGTATCAAAAAAAATGCTAAAAAAATTCATATGGGTACAGTGTTGCATGACTGCGCAATTGTCATTCAAAGTGTGATAGCGCTGAAAGCTGAAAATTAGCCTGGACAGGAAGGGGGTGAAAGTGTCCGGACTTGAAGTTGTTAACAAAAACAAAAATAAATAACTGCATATAAAAGAACAAATAAAAAAAAAAACACAAAACACATTCTTAAGCGACTATGCACCATACCAGTTTAATATATGGAACCTACTATGCCATAGACTGGCCAACCTACTAGTAGATCAGTTATAAAACAGCCCAGTCTCTAGTATAAGCTTTTAACAAACCCTGGTATATATTTCTATTTATTCAGTTATACTACTTTATAAAAAAACACTTGGAGGTATAAAAATGCAGGAACCTAAAGAATCAGATATGTTTTAAAAGTGCACTTAATCTTTAAAAGAGAAGTGCGGGAATCAATAAAAAGCCTGGACTGGCTAAGTGACATCAGCCGTTAGCAGACTAGCCTACTGTTGGCTGAATATGGGTCACAGAACTGCACAACTAAGTGCGCTCCGGTGACCCACAAGAGAAGTAGGGCCGAAAGAGCTTTGGTCCTACCTCTCCTTTAAAAGCAAAGCTCACTCAAAACTGTTGAGAACTAGCTAAACTTCATAGACCTAAAGGTCATAGAGTACATTTGATTTTTTTTTACTTTGGGACCACTGTTGAATTCTTAGAAGATTATGAGCTTCGGCAAAGTAAGAACCACTGAAAACTGAATTAGGATTTTAAGACCAACACATAAAGCTGAACTCTGGGTTCCTGTAAACGTTTACTTGGCAGTGGGCACCTGTCCCACTCTACAATGATTAAATTCTTGTTTTGTCAGAAGGCTTACCTCATTCATCGCACTTCTGGCAGCCAGCACTCTTCAGCCCTATGATGTGAGCAGGATATGGGTATGGGTGGGCCTTTGGCATCATGTACAATGCAGGACCACTTGGTTCCTGCATTGTATGTGATGACTTGGAGAGGCTGTAACCACAGAAGTGGCAAAGGGAAGTGCGTCTCTGGTACCTGTCATACTGGGGGGATAGCGAGAGGAAGTGGGGAAAAATGTATGTGCCGTATATCTACTTTTTCCAATCCCCCTAAACTAAAGGAGAATTTCACCACTGCATTGTGGAAGGGGGGGCGCTGGTTCCAATGCAAGCTTTCATTTTTATAGTAACTTGGAATTCAGTTTTAATTCTTAGCTCAAAAAGGTATGAACTTCTTTAAAATGATCCCTTGTAGCTTTTGAGTGTTCTTTGTTGATATAAGCTAAGTGCACGCAGAAGACAAACAGGTTTCAAGTCGCAATAAATACTTTATAAAGATTTCAATTACTTGGCAGAGTAGGAAATGGCGCACTCGGGGCAAGTCTGACTGGAAGTTGTTTCGCACCACAATCTGTAACCAGCGGATTCGGATTTCTGTGTTCATAGTAGCCAGATCAGAAGAATAGCACAGGGACAGCTGAAGCATCACCTCTAAGTAAAAGAAAAAAGAAGGCTCAGATACAACATGCCTGGTCTACCAGTGTCTTTACTCAAATCTAGCTGCCTGCATTATTTCTACAAGAAAGCCAACTGTCTACTGAGGAAATGTAAACAAACGTGTGGATTCTATTGCTGCCTCGAGTTTGTCAACCACTTGCCCTCCAGATAATTTACCCCCCTTCCTGATCAGGCCATTTTTTGCGTTACGACGCTGTGTTACTTTGACTGACAATTGCGCGGTCATGCAACACTGCACCCATTTTAAATTTACATCCTTTTCTCCCAAGAATTGAGCTTTCTTTCTGTGGTATTTGATCACCTGTGTGGTTTTTATTTTTTTTGCGCTATAAAAAAAAAAAAAAGACCGACAATTTTGAGAAAAAAAAACAATATTTTTTGACTTTTTGCTATTAAAACATGTCCAGTAAAAAAATGTAAAAAATCTAATTTCGTCATAAATTCAGGCCAAAATGTATTCTGCTACATGACTTTGCTAAAAAAAAAATCCCAATACGTGTAAATTAATTGGTTTTACATGAAAGTTAAAGTGTTTTCAAATGGCGGTATATATAATGTAATTTTTTTTTTTTTACCAGTAATGGCGGCAATCAGCGAACTATAGCGGGACTGCGGCAGGCATTCTGACACTGGGGGGAACTGACTTGGTGTCACTGACATCCCCAGTGACACCAATACAGTGATCAGTACTAAAAGAAAAGCACTGACACTGTACTAATGGCACTGGGCAGGAAGGGGTTAACATGAGGGGCGATCAAAGGGCTAACTGTGTACTGTTTCACATATGTGCTGTGTCCCTGTGCTTCACTGTAAGCACACTACTTTAGATGGCTGTGCTGTGCACAGCCATCCAAAGCAGTGTGCTGGAGCTGACAGGGAGGAGAACTGTTTTGTTTACAAACAGTTCTCCTGTCGGAGATGCTCAGCAATCACCGACAAGTAATCACCGGCCAGGACCTGGTGATTGACAGCCGTGGCCGCGAATGGCACGCGCTCCCTATCCGGAAATGCAAAATCATGTATATATACACGTGATTTTGCGCACCCGTGCCACCTTGTAGCAGTATTTCTGCTATAGGGTGGTCGGGAAGTGGTTATTACCATGTTTTTGTTGAGCTGAAGTAATAGTAACAGAGTTGGCAGTAAAAAGTTCTTATTCTCGACCAGAAACCGACTGGTTGCTATGGACAACTGCTCTGTATATATTATTGGCAAGCCTACAATTTTACAAACAGAGGTTAATTATCAAGACAACAGATGTTATTTTTAACTCACCATTCTCTCTACTATTGTTCATAATTTATTTTATTTTTTTAAGACAATGTTAACTTCAGGTAAACTGCAATTTTTAAACATGGTGATACTAGGATTCTTGTACTGATAACCATTAAGAAAGACAACCATGTGAGAATAGCAGCATATGTATAGCTACAATAAACGTCAAAGCTACTAATAGTAATATAGCTTGCAGTCACCTGGTCGCAGTGGAGATTGATCTAACAGCTTGTCCAAAAAGAGTACAGTCTGGAAAGTTTGCCAATCTGCGATATTGACAAAGGTGGCAGCAGCTTCAATATCCAAAGGTTCAGCCATCCACAGCTGATTCAATGCTTCCACTGAAGAAGTGAACACAGATCCCTGAGAAAGATCTGGCTGGGTCAGGGGAGGTCCTGGAGCATTAAGCCAGCGATCAAAGTCTAGACCTGACATTGGTGAAAACATAATGAGGACACATTTTATATATACGAGAAGAAGTATATGTTTTACCTATTACTTTATCTTACCTTCACTATATGATGGACTCTCACCCCTTAAATGAGGGAAAAAGCTGAGATAGGACTCCAGCAGATCATTCGCTACAACACTGTGGAACTTAAACCTCTCAATATAATCCTGAAAGGCAAAGAGTAGAAATTATTTTCTAGGAAACACAAAAATTAAAGTCAATTATAAAAACACAAATATATTTTAGAGTGCAACTAGCAAAAGTTTGTTAAAAGGGCATAATGAAAATATCTAAAATAATGTAAAAACAAATTAAAGGATTTCAGTAGATATTATATGGCAATGGGAAAACATGGACTTTGGAAATGGACCCCAGCAACATGTAAAGTTTGTCTCTAAGGGTTGTTTTCAGTTATACTAAACCTCAATCTTAGAAAAAACTGCAACCTTTTAACCACTTGGGCTCCTGAGGATTTACCCCCCTTAAATGACCAGGGCTCTTTTTGCTGCTCGGCACTGCACTAATTCAGCTGATAATTGCACGGTCATGCAATGTTGCACCTAAACGAAATTTACGTCCTTTTTTTCACACAAAATAGAGCTTTCTTTCGGTGGTATTTGATCACCTGTGCGCTTTTTATTTTTCATGCTATAAACAAAAAAAAAACCTAATATTTTGAAGAAAAATGATATTTTTTTTACTTTCAGCTATAAAAAATATATAGTAAACTCAAAGTTTAGTTATAAATTTAGGCCAAAATGTATTCTGCTACATGTTTTTGGTTAAAAAAAATCCCAATAAGTGTATATAGATTGCTTTGTGTGGAAGTTATAGCGTCTACAAACTATGGTATACATACTGCAATTTACACCATTTTTTTGCTATACAGCGCTGCGCTAGTTTAACGGACAATTGCGCGGTCATGCAATACGGTACATAAATTACATTTATGTCCTTTTTTCACACAAATAGAGCATTCTTTTGGTGGTATTTGATCACCTGTGAACTTTTTATTTTTGGCGCTATAACCAGAAAATTTGTGAAGGAAAAAAAGATTTTTTGGAAAAAAAACAATATTTTCTCATTTTGGTCATAAAAAATATCTAAAAAATCTAAAATTTCGTCATAAATTTAGGCCCAAAATGTATTCTGCTACATGTTTTTGGTTAAAAAATCCCAATAAGTGTATATTGATTGCTTTTTGTGAAAGTTATAGTGTCTACAAACTATGGTATAGATAATGGAATTTACATAGCTTTTACTTTCTGACTGCCCATCACATTTCTTGAAGTGCTAAAATACCAGCATAGTACAAACACCTCTCAAATGACCCCTTTTCGGAACTTAGACACCCTAAGCTATCTGCTGAGAGGCATATTGAGTCCATGGAAGATTTATTTTTTTTCCACAAGTTTCTGGAAAATGACAAAAACTTTTTTTTTTTTCTTACAGGAAGTTGTCATTTAAATGATTTATTTCTCGCACAAGCCATGGGTATATGTGGAATTACACCCCAAATTACATTCTGCTACTTCTACTGAGTATGGGGATACCACGTGTGAGACTTTTTGGGAGCCTAGCCACATACAGGAGCCTGAAATCCAATGACCACTTTGAAAGCCTGAAGGTGCGTAACTTCCTCACTACCTATCACAGTTTCAAAAGGTCCAAACATGCCAGGATAGCCCCAACCCCCCCCCCCCAAAATGACCCCTTTCTGGAAAGTAGACACCCCAAGGAATTTAAAAAGAGGCATGGTGAGTATTTTGCAGATCTCATTTTATCTCACAAGGTTTTGAAATATAAAAAAAAATAGAAAAAATATGTTTTTGTTTTTTTTCTTCATTTTCCAAAAACTTGTGGCAACAAATGAGATCTGCAAAATACTTACCAAGCTTTTTATCAAATTCCTTGGGGGTGTCTACTTTCCAAAAAGGGGTAATTTGGGCGGGTTAGGTGCTATCCTGGCATTTCAGGGCCTCCGAAACTGTGATAGGTAGTCTGGAAGTGTAATGAGGAAATAAAGCCCTTTAAAAGCCTGAAGGTCCTTATTAGACTTTGGGGTCCTGTACTTGGCTAGACTGCCAAAATGTCTCTCACATGTGGTACCTCCATACTCGGGAGAAGTAGCAAAATGTATTTTGGGGAGTAATTCCACATATACCCATGGCATGTGTGAGCAGTAAATCATTTAAGTGACAATTTTGTGTAAAAAAAAAAATATATATATTTATTTTTGTCATTTTCCAAAAACTTGTGGTAAAAAAAATAAATTCTTCTATTGAATCAACATTCCTCTCAGTAAATAGTTTGGGGTGACTACTTTCCGAAAGGGGGTCGTTTTGGGGGTGTGGGGCGTTTTATGCCCATCATTAGAAGTTTATATACCACACATTATTCACTCTTCTAACCACCTGAAGACCAAGCCTTTTTGCTCACATAAAAAAAATCTGTATTTTTTGCTAGGAAATTAATTTAAACCCCCAAACATTAAATATTTTTTTTAAAGCAGACACCCTAGTGAATAAAATGGTGGGTGCTACAATGTTTTATGGCACATAGTACTCGCGCAGCAATTTTTCAAAAGCAAATTAAAAAAAAAAAAACAAAAAAAAAAAACACTTTTTTTACTTTTAATGCACAAAAACACAATATATTGGCCAATTGTTTGGTAAAATATAAAAGATAATGGTATGCAGAGTAAATAGATACCAAACATGACATGCTTTAAAACTGCGCATGCCCCGTGCAATGGCGACAAACTGCAAACATTTTTAATATCCATAGGCAGAGCTTTAAAACCCTTTAAAAGCTACCATTTTAGATTTACAGAGGAGGTCTAGTGTTAGAATTACTGCCCTTGATCTGACGTTCACGGCAATACCTCACATGCATGGTGCAACCGCTGTTTACATATCGGCACAGGGTCAAGGCTTGTGCACACAGGGTGTGCGCGCATGGGAGGGATAATTACACCTTTTTTTTTTTTTTAGTTAGTTATTTTGATTTTTTTTTAATAATTTTTACATTGTACCTTTCATTTTTTTTTTATCACTTTTAATGCTATAACAGGGAATGCAAATATCCCCTATAACTTCAATGGGCATTGTCATATATTCTTTTTTGAAAAATCTGGGGTCTATCAGACTCTAGATATCTCCTCTGCCCTTACATTATCTAATCAAACCAAAATCGGTGTGATCAGATGCTTTCCCAATTTACAAATGGCGCTGTTTATATCCTGCGAAACGGAAGTGATGAAATGCTTGTAGCTTCCGAATTGTTAAGACTATAGAGATGATTGGCACCACTCTGGTCTCCAATCAGCTCTATGGTCAGCTGGCAGAAACACCGGCTGCATTCTCAGGTTCCTCTGATGGCACGGGACTGCCCGAGAAGGCCCTGGAAGGCAGCAGGGGAGGGGGGGCATCATCTCCCGCTGCTTGTAAAAGCAATCCTGCAGCTAATTAGCCACTAGGATTGCTTTTACATGAAAGCCGATCACCAGCTGAAAAAAACCATACCAGGTTGATGCCTGTAGCTGCAGGCATCATCCCGATATAACCACTCAAAGTTCAGCAAGAACCAGTACATTGCTGGTCCATGTTGGGCATATATGTAACAGCAGAGAACATGGGCATATGATGAAAAAAACGACACCAAGATGATGCCTGCAGCTGTAGGCATCATCCTGGTATAACCATTCAAATCCAGTGATGTACCAGTACATAGCTGGTCCTTGTTGGTTATATATGCTGTTTTTTTTTGTATGCAGCCTGTGGAATGAATGAAAAAATTAGAAGAAATCACTGCCAGAAAAAGTGTGTGGTATGCCCACCATTAGAATATACCGCCCTGCATCCCCCCACTTCTAATGGTGGGCACACATTAGGTCACACTTTGCCATAAGCGCCAGTTCCAAGATTGAATAAATGTCTAAATAGTGGCACGCTTAAATAAACATTCTCCACGTATAAGTGGTACCCCATATGGAGAAATGATGACACCAAGTCCCAAACTATTTTGCCACTGCTCCCCATGTAGTCTGGGCATCCGGGGGGCGCCCTGTGCCTATCTTTTCCCTCGTAAATCCAAAACTTATCCAGTATAGCCTGTTGCCCTCTCTCACAGGTCTTCTACATCTTGACCCCATATCTGGCACGCTTGCTGGGGAGAAATTGTTTGACTGCAAGGCGGCCAGAAAAATTAATGAGGGACTCATCAACGCAGATGTTTTGCTGGGGAGTATAGACATCTGCAAATTTTTGGTTAAGGTGATTTGTGAGGGGCTGAATTTTGTGGAGCCGGTCAAATTCAGGGTTACCCCGAGGATGACAGAGTGTATTGTCGCTGAAATGCATAAAACACATTATACTCTCATATCTATGCCTGGCCATGGCAGCAGAGAACACGGCATATGATGAATCGGGTCTGCGGACCAATACAACCGCAATTCATTTCTTTTAGTAATGCCCATGTTGAGGGTTAGGCCCAAAAAAAAATGTAAATTTGAAAACCGTAATGAGTTTCCATGCGACTGGTCTGGCAAGGTTTGAATTTGGGATGGCGGAAATAAATTGTTGTGCATATAAACTGCTTTGATCCACAATCAACGCATACAGATATTCCGTGAAAAACAGCTCCAAAAATCAAGGAGGTATGTGAAAGACCATGATGATGTACTAGACTGCTGGTACTCGCCAGTTTACCAATAGGTAGCGTGGCACTACTACTGGCACTCTGCTGCATATGAGAGTCATCAAAATTTACCGGTAAGTGCTAACAGAGATCAGGCCTGATTCTGCGAACACTGCGGTTTTGTGTGCAATCTATCAAGTGACAGTGACCTACTGACACTGCACTTGCTGGGGGAGAAGGGGGGTAAGCGTAGGGGCTAAACGCAGGTGCTGGCAGGTGCCGGGGCTGATCCCGCTAACGCTGCGTTTTTGGGGACGCTATATTAATGTGAACGCTGGTATAGTGCTGACCTGATCAAAGATATTGACCCGTTCAGACACTATACTAGCAATGGGGGATTATTGTACATAAGCGTGTTCCTGGAAATCAAGGGGTTAAATGTGATGACTGGTGTACTGACGGGCAATCTGACGCTATCTGGGAGGGGGTGTGAAAACCACGAGCGCGCGACGCTTATTATTTGTTATGTGTTAAATTATTTTTTTTATATATATATATATATATATATATAATATATATATTATATATATATATATATATATAATATATATATATATATATATACACACACACACATACATACATGTGATTTTGCGTACCCATGCCGCCCTGTAGCAGTATTTCTACTGTAGGGTGGTCAGGAAGCGGTTACAGAAGCGGTTTGTGTTACGTTGCTGCGTTACTTTAACTGACAATTGCGCAGTCATGCACCACTGCACCCAAATTAAATTTACATCCTTTTTTTCCCACAAATTGAGCTTTCTTTCGTTGGTATTTGATCGCCTGTGCGTTAATTTTTTGCGCTAAAAAAAAAGGCTGACAATTTTAAGAAAAAAAAAATATTTTGGACTTTTTATAAATTTCGTCCAAAATGCATTCTGCGACATGTCTTTGCTAAAAAAAAATCCCAATACATCCCAATACATGCAAATTAATTGGTTTACATGAAAATTATAGCGTTTACAAAAAATGTACATAGAAGTCTGTTAGAATTAGTACAGTATCTTCATGATATTCACCTCCAATTATGATGCATGCACAATGTTTGCATGTAAGTTAATTATCCAAAGTTGTAAAGGGAATCTATGCCTAGAATATGCACACTAAAATACTTATGTATATCCAAACAAGCTGTAAAAGCACTTTAAAAAAAGCACCACTGTGGGCACGGGGGATAAAATCATCTTTAACCAATTGCCCTCCTAAGGATTTGCCCCCCTCCTGACCAGACCTTTTTATGCTATCGCACTGCACTATTTCAACTGGTAATTGCACGGTCATGCAATGCTTTACCCAAACAAAATTTACGTCCTTTTTTTCACACAAATAGAGCTTTTTTCAGTGGTATTTGATCATCTGTGTGCTTTTTTATTTTTTGCGCAATAAACAAAAAAAGACCGAAAATTTTTGAAAAAAAATATTTCTTACTTTCAACTATAAAAAAAATTTATAGTAAACTCATAAATAGTCATAAATTTAGGCCAAAATGTATTCTGCTATATGTTTTCTGTAAAAAAATCCTAATAAGTGTTTATTGATTGCTTTGTGTGAAAGTTATAGCGTCTTGAGCCCCAGCCACTACATCAAAACGTTTGCAGGGCGGCACGGCTGCGCAAAACCACGTTTTAAAACGTGGTTTTGCAAAAAACAGGTTATATATTTTATTAAAGCAGACACCCTAGTGAATAAAATGGTGGGTACTGCAATGTTTTATAAACCAATTTAAATGATAGTGCCGCGCTCCTAATTACTAATAAAACATTACATAAAAAATTCTTTCATATCTCTCCTCTCCACGTTGGAACAGCAATTGGGAGATACTCAGCACTACTGCTATGGTGCAATAAATGATTTATAGTTTCATTTGTGAACAAAAGCTGGTTGAGCCTTTCAGTAGGCTTTAACTGAGGTGAGCGCATATTGAGGGAATACACATAAGAAGTCACCGGGAAATTGCGATTTCTCACTTTGGATTTGTCACTTTCATCACTAGAGACTGTTTTTTTTTAATCTTTTTTTTTTTTTTTTTTTTATTGGGTTGTTTATCACATTATCACAATGGACATTTATCACTTATTTATTATAAGTATAGAGATTATTTTTTTTTTTTTATATTTGTATTGTTTTATTATTTTTTTGGAGATATGAAATAATTTTTTTATATATACTATTATATTAATGTTTTACACATGGTGAAGTATTTTAGGAGCGCATTTGACGGAATACACTATTGGTTTTTTTGTTTTACGTTGACCGGCGAGCCTGATAAATAAACTGACCATTGGGCTCTATGTTTTCACTGCAAACCCAAATTTTTAATTTTATGTTTTTTTTTTTTTTTTTTTTTTTTTTTTTTTTTTTTTTTTTTTTTTTTTTTTTTTTTTTTTTTTTTTTTTTTTTTGCTTTCTTTCGTTTATTTGATATTATAATTTTATTTTTGACAATTTTCCCCCCCCCAACAATTGTCTTTTTTTTCAGGCTCTATGATTCTGTCGACATTTTTTTATCGGCGATTTTACATTGGGGAGAATTACGAATAATTTTTTTTAACTGTTTTGGGCTTTTGCAAAAAAACACGCTTTTTCTAATTTTTTGGATCCAAAAGTTTAAAGGGAATCTTGCCAGGATTTGCACATTTATTCCGAACAAGTTAAAATTTTCCACTGTGGGGCACGTGGGATTTTTTTCTGGTCTTTTTTATTTTTAATGCTACGCACGCACTATTTCCACTGGTAATTCACAAAGCTTTACCCTTTTTTTCAACACAATGGTAAAAAAAATTTATAGTAAACCTAAATAGTCATTTTTTTAGGCCAAACTGCTATAATGTTTTCTTGTTTTAAGTGTCTTATTGATTGCTTTGTGGTGAAAGATAGCGCTCACAGGCTTCAATTTATGCGCAAAAAGCCGGCTTTGCCCCCCCCACAATTTTTTTTTTTTTAACTTATATTATATTATAAAGTATCTGAGAAGAAGATGCGTTTTTTATATTTGTTGCAACCCAACTTGCATATCTCCTCCTCTCCGACGTGGAACTCGGCATGGGATACTGGCTCTGCCGCGCTTATTCAGCTTATATTTCATTTGGAACAAGAAGGGGAGTAGGCGATGGAATATTTTATTTTTCGGGACTTGCGATTTCCCTCATGGAGTAGTGTTATGATTTTTTCGTTTTTTATTTTTATATATGATTAATTATATATTTTTTATATCTTTTTTAGATATTTAGGAGCAGCGGCACTATCATTTAAATTGGTTTATGTTTTATACACATTGCTTTGAGCATGTGTTTGGTGCTGACGAAACTTCTTTTAATTTAGGTAGTGGCTCACAAGTTATTTAATTATTTTATTTTACTACAATGTTTTTATGTCACATAGTACTCGCGCAGCGAATTTTTAAAAGAACATTTTTTAAACTAAATACATTTTTTTTACTTTTAATGCACAAAAAAACACAATATATTGGCTAATTATTTGGTAAAATATATAAAATGATGATGGTTTATACCGAGTAAATAGATACCAAACATGACTTTCTCTTTAAAACGGCAAAATGCCATCCCCTGCAATGGTGACAAACTGCATACATTTTTAATATCCACAGGCAATGTTATAAAAGCCTTTACAAGCTACCATTTTAGATGTACAGAGGTGGTCTAGTGCTAGAATTACTGCCCTTGATCTGGCGTTCGCGGCGATACCTCACATGTATGTTGCAACTACTGTTTACATACTGGCATGGGTCAACGCTCACGCATGCAGCGTTTGGGGGAGGGCGAAGGGGGTGCTTTTTTTTTTTTAAGTTATTTTGATTTTTTAAATTATTTTTACACTGTCCCTTTCATTTTTTTTTTGGATAACTTTTAATACTATCACAGGGAATGCAAATATCCCTATAACTTCAATGGGCATTGCCATATATTCTTTTTGTTTACATCTGAGGTCTATCAGACTCTAGATATCTCCTCTGCCCTTACATTATCTAATCTCACTAAGATCGGTGTGTTCGATGCTGATTTCCCAATTTACAAATGGCGCTGTTTATATCCTGCGAAACTGAAGTGATGAAATGCTTGTAGCTTCCGAATTCTTAGACTATAGAGACGATTGGCACCATTCTGGTCTCCAATCAGCTCTATGGTCAGCTGGCAGTAACACCGGCTGCATTCTCACGTTCCCCCGATGGCAAGGGACTGCCTGAGAAGGCCCTGGAAGGCAGCGGGGTAGGGGGGACATCATCTCCCTGCTTGTAAAAGCAATCCTGCAGCTAATTAGCACTAGGATTGCTTTTACATGAAAGCCGATCGCCATTGGAAAAAAACGATACCAGGATGATGCCTGCAGCTGTAGGCATCATCCTGGTTATAACCACTCAAAGGCCAGTGATGTACCAGTACGTCGCTGGGTCCTTGTTGGGTGTATATGCTATGCTCTTTTTTTTTTATAAAACAGCCTGTGGGCTGAATGATAAAAAGAGAAGAAATCTCTGCCAGAAAAAGTGTGTGGTATGCCCACCATTAGAATATACTGCCCTGCATCCACCCACTTCTAATGGTGGGCACACATTATAGAAGGGATAAAACCGAGATCAGTTTGATCTGCTGCTACACAAGCCCGGCAATGGCTTGTACACAAAAAAACTAAAACCTCAAAATTCTTGCCACTTCTGGGCTCTGACATCACACAGTGGGAGGAACAAGATCAGTCCCTTTCACTGTGTTTAGGGAAATCAATGCCGCCGCTTGTGAGATCACCCCTACAGCCACCTGTAATGGCTTTTATAGCTGCTATGATTACATTTACAAGGAAGGGAATCGCTGGCTGAAGAAAATGATAACTCGATAATTGCTGCAGCTGCAGTAATAACCGAGTCTTCACCATTCCAATCCAAATGGTTAATATGGCGCAGGCCACACCTGACAATTAAAATGGCACAGGGAGCTTAGTTGATTTCCCAGTTTATCCTTACCCTGAGGAAGGCATCAAAGTTGTCCTGGTCCCCGCATAACTGGGACAAATAGTGCACAAAGCAAAAGCCCTTCTCATAGGTGAATAAGTTCATGAGGTTACTAGGGTTTACACCTAAAGACAACAAAAAAGAAATAGGACAGGATATTATTTTTAGCTATTTGTAAATATGAAAATAAAATTGTTAATGTCAACCTGAAAAAAGTTAACTTTAATTCTCAGGCCCCAATAAGAGGCTATACTTGCATTCCCTTCCATTGCTTCCTTATTTTTCCAGGAAAGTAAACTGACATACCTGGTATTTCCGGGCGTATGACTCACTCTTTTTCCCAAATGACAGTGCTGATCAGGCACTTAGAATGTCATATGGGGGTGGAGATCCCTAAGCCCTGCGCTCATCGCTCCTGATGTGAGGTGAACTTAGTGACAGGGGAGCAGAGTAGGTTAATATAAGCAGCTGTGGGGGCTGGCATTCGTTACCCAGTTGTAAACACGTTCACCTCAATTCTGCATTAAAGCGTATATCAAAAAACACTTTAGTTGGCTAAAAATTTACAAAAGTTCTTACAGACTTTTTACCTGGATCCAGTTTGGCCTGCAATCGGCTGAATGGTGTATCGTGACCAAGGATTCGGATCTGTCTGTGCAAAGCTTCAAGTCGAAAAGTTGTCTCTAGACACGTGAAAGCAGGACCTGTCAAACACAGAACATGGAGTTACATAGGAAAGAAAAGAAAAAAAAAAACACATAGACATTAGGATGAAACATGCAGCTTGATTAAAATTGTCCTGTCGGACCTATCAATATACATTAACGCAGAATCCATGAAATACATGGATTTTCAGAGATTACTAAAAATCTTACATTTTTCATTTCTAAACTCTAATGAAGGGAGACTGTAGAGGACAAATGAAAGTAATTATTTATGTTCATAGTAGTGATTCTGTAAAATAACCAATTTTTTAATTAGATGACTGTTCTAATTCCAGAGTGGCTGCTACATGCAAGAGTTTAGATGGTACATTTGCTGCTATTAAGGCCACAAAGAGCTGTAAGGTAAGCTTTCAAACAGGTATTTGAAAAAGGGTCAAGATATGTGATTTTAGCACTTACTATTTCTTGGAGTTCATTAGCCACCTTAGAGGTCTGATTATGTCAGTATTTCTGTGCTCAAAGCGGTACATTTTTTTGCATGGAAATATGTAGTTTTTTTTTTATTGTAGGCCAGTAATTTTTAGGAATAACTCACTGAAATCTGTCCGAACAAGAGTCTAGTAAACATCCCGGGTATGATAAAATTTGAAACACGAAATCATAAATTATAATTTAATAAATAATCATAAAAAATAATAATATAATAAATTTAATTCAATAATATAATCAAACCAAAAACTCCTACTCCCAACATGCCTCAATTTTATGGAAAAGCAGTACTAAGAGCATGAATACAGCCAAAGAGAATGGACCTGTGACCTGCAATGAACTTTAAGAAATTGGTTTTACATTAAAGTGGTTGTAAACCTCAGTCATGAAGTCTGAACAAGGCACATATATATGATGTAGTGTTTACTTGTCATTCTCCAAAGCTCTATGTGAAGTTTCTCTCTGATGCTTCTTCCTGTTATCAGCATGTCTACTCAGAACACAGCTCTGCAAGTTTCTTTGCAGGTAAACAAGTAAAATGCCTTAGATTGTACGCCCCTTGAGGGTTAAGGACTGATGTGAATGTATAATATATATATGTAAAGCGCTGCGTAAATTGACGGCGCTATACAAGTACCTGAAATAAATAAATAACATTTTGCAGTAGAATTTGTTTCATCTCTGTGTCTCGTCTGAGGCTACTCACTTCACTGTGTATATGTAAGAGTTTACAACCACTTTTAGAAGAGAAAAAAAAAAAAAAAAAATCACAAAAAACACAGGAATTTATAGACTGCTGGCAAGTTTAAAAACAGTCCAACAAAGAACAAAAGAAATGGGGACAGCTCACAGCTCAAAGAGCTGCCTGAAGAACCTCATGTCTGAAGCTGGCATCAGATTACCTGTGAAATGAATTACCTGTAAAATCCATTTCTTGTAGTACATCATAGGACACAGAGTAGGCTATTCATGACTATGTGGGTTATCAAACAGCAAGTCCTCCTCTATATAACCCCTTCTACACAGGAAGTACTTCAGTTTCTGTAGCAAGCAGTGAAATTCCAGAAAGCGGGGAGGGACCTCTGTGTCCTATTATTTTGAACACAACTGATATATATATACATACATACATACACATAGTGGTACCTCGGTTAACGTAATTTTCAGTTTCCGAATGAAAATCCATTGAAAATAATGCCTCGGTTTACAAATTTTTTACAAATTTTTTTTTGCAATACGAAGTGTATGTTGGTGCTGATTTTTAAATTTAATTGTCCACTTTCTTTTTTCTTCACTATAGCTCACAAGACTAGCTGTCACTTTCCATGGAGTTACAGGAAACTGTTTCTTTTAAGAAACTAAAAGGAAACATGGTTTCTTTAACATGGGGAAATAAACTAATGAAAACTCTCTCTCTTTTAGCTGGGGGGATAGTGACAGCTGAATTTCTGAGCTATAGTGAATAAAAAAAAAAAAAAGGAGTAATTACATTTAAAAACCAGCACCATAATAAATAAAAAAAACAGCGTTGGGTCCCCCCTCCCATCCACACCAAGCCCTTCAAGTCTGGTATGGATTTTGAGGGGAACTCCCATGCCCAAATTAAAAAAAAAAATGGCGTGGGGGTCCCCACCCCCCCAAAATCCATACTAGACCCTTGTCCAAGCATGTAGATCCCGCCCTCCCCCCCATGTGAATGAGTATGGGGTACATGGTACCCCTACTCATTCACAAAAAACAAAGTGTAGTGTGAAAAAAAGACAGGACACGGTCTTTGACAAGTTCTTTATTAAAATGAAAAACTAAAAGAATGTCCCCCCACAGTAGATCCAAGTTCAATCACGATGCCCGCCGAACCTTACATATTATTTAAGAACTGTCAAGCCAGCTAGATTGGCTGGCAGCCATCGTCGGGAACGGAACCTTTATTTGGGGCGGTGGGCATCGTGGTTGACCAATCAGTACTGACCCTGCTTAGCTTCCGAGTTCAGACGAGATCAGGTGCGTGATCAGGGTGATGTGGCTGCAGTCCATTGCAGCTCTGCCACCAGGAATAGACAGACAAATGGAGTGGCCCTATTGCACCTAACACCACTGGTCTATCATAAAATGCGAACAGCCAGATTAGTCCCCTTCCGAGTTCACTGGACCTGACGGAGGTACACCTGCCTCCTGCTGTCTCCCCCTTCTGAGACCATTTAAATCATATAATAGGTAAATAAAGTAGCAGCTATAATTGCCAAAGCCTAATTATTCAGTCCCATATTGATGCAGGTCCATAGCCATGTGGGTCTACAGCTATGCAATCACGCAGGTACGCAATCACGCAGGTACGCAATCACGCAGATATGCAAGTATACAAGTATGCAGTTTAAGCAAGTATGCATGTAAGTAGCTTGTTTATGTAAATATGCAATTAAATGCAAGTATGTAATAACACAAGCACGCAGCTACACAAGTATGCATGTATGCAGCTACACAAGTATGCAGCTACACGATTATGAATGTATGCAGTTACATAAGTATGCATGTAATTATGCAGTTCTACTTTCTAGAAGCATATTGTTTCATAAAAAATGACTGCACTTGGCTCCATACTAGTTTCACAGGATTAGTTAAGCACATTTGCATCAAACTCAACCTGAATGCAGCCTCTATGCCGCTTCAGTGCAGCCTAAATATAAGCTTCTGCAGATCAAATGCAAGCTACTCTAGAGACCCAACTCCTTTAAGTGCAAACTAATGCAGTGAATAATCATATCCTGTCTGGTCATGCAGCTCCCCCACAGGTAATACTCACACATCATCATCCAGACATGGATCGTTCTGTGCCCCTGCTCTCAGGAGCCCCACTGATCCTACAGCCCACATGTGATTTCAACCATAAGCCAAAATGGCTACCCCTCTACTTCCTGCCTCCACTGCACAACAGTAGGCTATACAGAGCAGCCCCGCTGCCTCTAGTGGCTGGAGGAGAAAACTGCAGCTCAATACTCCAGAGACACGAGCCACAGAGGGAGGGGTGGAGCCTAAACATGGCGGCGCCGGAGAGCACGATGTGAGTGCTCTCCGACAACCCACGAATTGACCACCATGAGAACCCCTAAGGCCTGAAGAGCGAAGCCCTACCTGAGTGAGGAGGTCCCCAGGGGGAGAGGGTGCCGGCGTGCTGCAGGGAGAGGACAGCGAGAGTGGATACGGAGCTCCGTGAGGTGTTCATGCCGCGGTGACCTGGGATCAGCTGCCGGGTTGCCGGGGAGACGGAGCAGCGCGCCGTGACCACGCTGGTTGGCCGCAAAGGAGCACTGGGAAGCAGAGGCGCCAGCCAGTTCCCTGACAAGTGCCGGCTCCCTGACAGGAGAGCAGAGAAGCCGGTTCAATCCCCCAAATCTGCAGCACAGGAGTGGAAGGTGATAGAGGATACACACCTACAGGAGACCCTGCAGGAATCCCCCAGAGACATCGGCTGAGTGCGGTGAGCGGACGGCTGGAGATCTGTGTCGACTCACTGGGTGAGGGAACGAGTGAAGGAGGGCGAGTCCATACGTATGAACCCACATGTAACTGTGTAACTGTGTGGAACTGTGTTGAACTGTGGGAAGGACTGCTAAATTCTAACAAAGAGAGAAGGGGGATTTCCCAGGGGATCTGGAAAAGTGAAAACAGAAAGAAGAGGGAATGAGAAATTACTAAGTGGCTCCAGAAGAGACCTGGGAAAAGAAATAAGAAAATGAAGTGTTAAATTGACAGAGACTGATTAATATCAATACCCAATATATAGCCTAAAGTTTCCCGCCGATTAAAGAGCAAAACTGAGTGCAGAAGATATGAAGAATAAAAGCGCTAAAGGAAGCGGGCTTAAAGGGTCCCAGACTGGTTCAATTAAAAAATATACTTCCCAGGGTAATGCAACTCCAGAAAGGGCCTATAGTGGAAATGAAAAAGGGGAAATGGAAACTACCTTGGAGAATAGCCCTAGATTGTCATTAGGCCTGAATAGTAGTAGCCAACAGTGGACAGATAACTTAACGAGGAAAGATCTTGAAAAAGATTTACAAGTGCCGAACAAAAGAGAGATGGCCGTAATGTTTAAGGACTTGGAAAAAAACTATTAAGCAAGAAATGACAAATATACGTCAGGATCTAGGGCATCTGTTAAAGAGAACGGAAGAAATGGAGGGAAATATCAACAAACATACCCAACTCATTTCGGACTTAGAAAAAAGGTCCGCTATGATGAGGTATACGCAGAAACAACTGCAGTATAAAATAGAAGTACAGGAGAACAGGTCTAGGAGAAGCAACTTGAGGATAAGAGGAATCCCAGATATCCTGAAAGGGGGAGAACTGCAAGAAAAAGTCTGTAAAATGTTAAACTCTATTATGGACAGACCTGAAACAGAGGTGATTAATCTGGACGGAGTCTTTAGATCAGGAAAGTCCCAACAAGGTAACGGGAAGGAAAAATCAAGAGATGTGATTGTTCAGCTGCAAAAATTGGAATTGCAGAGAATGAGGATTAGTGGGTGGGAAACAGAGACTGAAATAGG